TGGACACCTTTTGGAAGATATCGATGGTTAAGACTGCCTTTTAGTGTTTCACCAGTGACAGAAATGTTTTCACAAAAAGTGCAGGAAATCACTCATGACTTGAATGGTGTAGAAGTGTTAATTGATGATATCCTTATTTATGGATGTGGTGATAGTATGAAAGATGCTCTACAATATCATAATCACAATTTAGAAAATCTGCTTAAACGCTTACAACAAAATGAATGTAAAATTAACAAAGAAAAACATTGACCTCTGTAAAACATCAGTGAAGTTTTTGACTATAGTTTATCCTGCGAAGGACTCAAACGGGATCCATCTAAAACTGAAGCCATAACCAGGATGCGAGCTCCTGAAAATAAATCTAAGCTATTACGTTTTTTAGGCATGGTGAAGTATTTGTGCAGACTTTTAATGATTTATGAATGGAAACAGAAAACCTGAGAAGAATTACACGAGATGATGTTGAGTAGAAGTGGACAAAGAACGAGAATAAAGAATTCGAGAGGTTAAAAACTCTTGTTACTGACATAAAGCCACAATAGACCTTTGATGTTAACGAATCGGTAACATTAGAATGGGTTGTTAACTCTATGGTATGGGGAGCAGCTACCTCTCAGAATGACTAAATTGTAGGTTATGCGTCCAGGACATTATATCGCACAGAACGGAATTACACACAAAACCAAAAATAAGTTGCTGTCGATTGTATTTGGTTGTATGCACTTTTATTCACTTCTTGCAGGAAATAGTAAAGTGATTATTAAAACTGGCCATAAGTCCCTTATATAATTTAAAAAAAACTCTTCTGAAAGCTCCAAAACGTCTACAACTAATGTTGATGGTTCTACAAAGATATACATTGGAAGTACAATTTTTTAAAGGAAAAGATAATGTAGTGACTGACACTTTATCTACAGCAGTAATAGATCACACACTCGATGATGATAAAAGTTTGAAACATTTTGATATACTTGAGTTGAGGAACGAATCAAATATTAGTCATGTAATAGAAAAAGTGAATGTTTTAAAAACCGCGCAGATTACACCCGAAAGAGTCGAATAAATTAGAAGTATTACCAGAACAGATGTAACTATGCGAAAACTAATATATATTATACATAACGGTTGACCAAAGCATGTAGCAGATGTACATGTAGCGTGTACAATATGGTTTAGGTTAAGGGAAAGTTATGAAAGGTTAACTTTCGATACAGGATCAGATTATCTACAGAAATGAAAGGATTGTAATTCCCTTTAAACGCAGAAAAAATGACAGAAAAAGTGCATATTGCACATCCTGGCATTGAAGCCACATTAAATGTAGCGAAACACAATCTTTTGGCCGGGAATGTCATCTGAAAACGCTCAAAAGATAGAGAACTGTTCCATTTGAATGAAATTTATGAATTCACAACAACAACCAGAAATGCAGTCTCATGACGTACAGGAATATCAATTTCAATACATTTCTATGGATATATTCTTCACAGAAAAAAGGCAAAAATACAAAATTTCTAGTCACCGTAGACCATTTTTCAGATTTTTTCGAATTAGATATTATACCAAATCTCTCAGCAGAAACTTTGATTACGACATGCAAGAAAACTTTTAGCCGCCATGGAATACTTTCAAAAGTTTGCAGTGATAATGGGATCAATTTTGATAATAGTTTGATGCGACAGATTGCAAATAATGGGGATTTGAATTTGTTACGTCAGCACTCAAATTATACATGTATAGCTTCCTCAAGAAAGCAATGTTTGAATAGTCCAGATATGTTTTGTCACATGTAGCAAATACTCTTTCAAGGAAAATACAAAAGCTATTCCTGAGTTCTTAAACAGGGCATATTTGAGTTATTTTACTGTCAAGATAATATCGGAGATACAGATGTGGTCTCCTGATATTGTATGTAAGATATGTAAGGAACGTTTGCGACGGTTTAAAAATGAATGTTGAAGACTGGTTCCAGGAAGCAAAACAGTATTATTCTTCGCATCTGTTGTAAAGATGTACAAAATCTCAGTAAGGTTTTAGAGTACTACCATACTGATAAAACATTTCTTATACATTTCGAATTACTAAGTAAAACACATTTTCATTTGACAAATTAACAAACAAACTATTCCAACCTTGGAAACTTGCAACCTTGCAAACTTGCCACCTCAGGGTAAATTGTGCAGTTAATGGAAGTGATTAATGATAATTCAAACAGCAATGAATTCTACGGACAGGGGTTCCCATTATCATCATCACCAACCTAAAATTTCCAAATTTAATTAAAAATGATACCGAACTTGAAGAAATAGCCAGAATAACAACACAATTTATAAAAACTTGGTATTTAATCACCCATTTTAGCTCACAGACAGTATAAAAATTTACCTCAACAGCTATTGAATATGATACATGAAAAACGAAAACTAAGAAGGAAATGGTAAATATATTGAAACACTAATTACAAAAGAAAAATAAACAATCTAGCGAGGGCAATTAAAATGGAATTAGATAATTTATGATATTCTATTTCTGATATTCCAAACTCATCTAATCCAAATACATCCAAATTCAACGGCATTCATACAACGGCTGTGGATAAAAAATATAACAGGGGAAAAACTTCCTCCCCTAAAAATTCAAACAGGAAATTATGTACAAACGGACCAAGAAAAGGCTGATTACATTGCCGAAAAGTTTGAAAGTACTTTCACCCCCAACCCAATGACCGACGTGAAGCATAACAAAGTAATTCTAGAGAATATGATAGGCATGTTTTACAGAGTTCCCACCCCTATTAAATTTATTAGCCCCTACAAAATTACTACAATTATAAACAATTTCAAAATCAGGAATGCCCCATGCCATGATCGAATAACAAATACTCTTGAAAGAACTACCAAGAAGCGCGATTGCAGTTCTGGCAGCCGAATACGACAACTCAACACTTGGAATTTGGTATTATCAAAAATCATGGAAAAAGGCCATTGTCCTTCCAATAGGCACACCAGGCAAAAATCCAAAAGAAGTTACGATCAATAAGCCAATGAGCTTATTATCCTCTTTATCTAAAAAGTTTGAGAAACTAATACAATGAAGACTTACCAAATACCTCTTAGAAATAAGCGCATTACCAGATGAACATTTCGTGTTTAGGCTAAATTTTTGTTCAACTCATCAGCTTATCCGCCTTGTAGAACAAATTGCAAATTTTTTCCATAACAAACAGCAGACAGTTGGATTGTTTTCATATGTAGAACAAGCTTTCCATAAAGTTTGGAATACTGGTTTACTATTCAAACTCAAACTGCTCGGAGTACTTTTCTATTTACAGGACACTATAAATAGTTTTATTACAGACCGAACGTTCAGAGTTAAAATAAAGTGCGCACTTTCACTACATAGAATAATAAGAGCACGGGTACCTCAAGGTTCTGAACTATCGCCACTCCTCTTCGATGTACATTTTTTAGACATTCCCACATTAGGTGACTAAATTCTTGTACTATTCGCAGACGATTCTGCAATCGTTGCATGCAGATATAAATGTAGCAAAAAATAGCATCGAGGCGGATATCTTATGCGCTCTAAAGTGAGTTCAACAATAGAGAATAAAAATAAACCCAATGTAACCCAGGTCAAAAGTTTACTCTTTGTCAACCAAAGTTGCCTCGTCCACAAGTACTAAATAATACTCTCATCCCGTGGCTAGCATTTGAAACACCAGTGAAATATCTTGGGGTCTACATTGATAGCAAGTTAACCTGGAAAAAGCACATTGAAGTAACAACCAATGCAACATATGCCAAAATATCGAAACTACGCATTAATTAATTTTCGCTCAGTCTTAAATTTGGAGTGTGCAATTTTAATATTTAAATCAATTATTAGACCTTCACTCACTTATGCCTGTTCACTCTGGAATAACACAGCCAAAACCAACATTGAAAAACTTCCGATAATACGTTTTTTATGAAAATATGCAAAGGTTCCTTGGTTCATTTCTAATACACACATTTAAAGAGAACTTCAAATAGAGCCCCTAAACGAGTATATAAGAAATAACTGTGACAAATTGTTTACACTCCTTCCATCCTCTCCTTGCAGTATAAAATTTGCAATGGAGAAAATATTAAACACTCCCAAAAGAATATGCTCACGCTATCCCAAAGATTTGTAAAAAAAACTGAAAATAAATATCCACTGTAAGAATAATGATAAAAAATGTGTATGAAATTTTCACTTAACATTAAGATAGTTTTTGGATGTAAGTGTAGAGAGTATATTTAGGAATGAATATTGTATTGTAAAATTTGAACAAAGTGTGTAAATTGGTATGATATATTAAAAATATAAGTATGATATTCTGTAAATTAGCAAGTTGTAAGATACAAGAATGAGAGGTTGAATGTCCAAAGGCTGTGTATTAAAAATAAAAATGTACCAAAACCTGAAAGGCAAAACTGCCGATCAGAAAAACAAAATTAAAATAAAATAAAACTATTACTAGATAACAGATCTCCTAATATTAAAAGCGTGCTTTGTTAATCTGTGCGTAATTGCAGTTTCATCACAGGGGTACACTTTGAGAATGCAATTGTCTATCGAGTAATTTACGGACATCTTCAAAAAACGCTGCACACGTGTAGGGCATTAAGAGGAGTTGAACTATTTGCCAATTAACATTAAGTGGGGAATTTTATTCAAAGAAGTACATGTAATTATCAACTAATTCTTAGATAACCCAATAAGTACAATGTTCTGCAGGGACATGAAAATGAAATTGATGATATGGCTTGACTACCTTAAAACGTGACATGCCGGGCACCTGTGCATAAGGGAATGTCTCATAATTAAAGGCATTTTCTCATCTGTAAATCGATATTTTGAACGTGGCATTTTGGCAAAACGTGATCATTTTCGATCAGCCAATTAGAATTGCTATTACTACAAGAAAGTAGTAGAAGATTGTAACATTAGTGTGTGGTGCTGACCGGGACGTCGAGCAGCTTGTGCAGGCGCTCCTGCACCGAGAGCCCCTTGCGGGGGCGCAGCAGCACGTAGACGGTGTCGATGTCGGGGCAGTAGAACAGCAGCTTCTCCAGCAGCACGCGCCCCACGAAGCCCGAGCCGCCCGTCAGTAGCACGCTCTGCCCGCGGTAGAACTCGGCCACCGTCCACGGCAGCACGTCCCCCTCGGCCTCGCTGCGCGCCTGCTCCTCCGCCATCTGCGCACAAAACACCAACGCTCAACAAAATGACCGCAAAGTTAGCATATCATTTATGAGAAAATTGAAAATTAGTATCCCAGATTTTTGTAATTATTAAACTATTTTTTTAGCTGGTGCACGACATTAAAATATACGTTAGAGAGTGGATGCGCTAATTTAACATTGGGTGGGCATTCCACACAAAGAAAACTCATGAAAAGACGCAAATAACTTACTCGTGTAAATTTCAAAGGGTTGAAGTTATTGCAATGCAGTTTTCATGGAAGTATACAAGGGAATGGTGCTAGTTGATGTATGTATTCGTTTTAATTTCTTTTGTATTTTCCGAGATATTGATGTAAAATTGTTTGTTTTTTCAACGAAACTATACATATATTTTTAGTCTATCATGTCAAGATAAAAAGACGAAGCAAAGATCTTCGTATTGTCATATGGTAGTGTAACATTGCTATTTATTCATATCTTTAATATTTGATTTCATTGCTCCACTTGGGCAGCCATTTGGAACATTCCTATTCTTGTCTTAATTATTTGAAACAATCCTCAAATATTTAAATATTAGATACTTTTGTTAGGGTTGGTGGTCATTTGTAAAATCATCACCCTTTTCTTTTTTCAAAGATGAAACTAAATATTTATTTCAATATTTTTATATAGTTTCGAGAGCTCATAAATAAAGTAATTTTCTTTTAGTTGAATTACATGAATATACCGTACCGTTTTTTATTATACTTTTCGTATGCTCACTGCTAACTTCTCAGACGTCCTTCTCGGCTCTTATCGTCGTCCATGTTATGTCCTCGCTACTCTACTATTAGGTTTTTCTTATCGTCCGAATAAATTCTCAAATATTCCCGGAGTGTCCTTGGCCATCTGATATTTTATATAATTTATCACCTTTTTCTCAAACCCAATCTCTCTCGCAACTCGGCTGACCCTCTCTGGGCCTCGGGTGAAAACCCTATTCATGACTACCTATTCTCAATCAACGTAATGAAAATTCCTCTCCATCTACGCAGCTGTCGTGACATACACCCTTTGGAAAACGGAGACTGACCTACATCTAATAATTAATATGACAAAAACAATCACAAATATAATTTAACATTACTAACACTTTCAAACTTTGACTCCCGAAACTCGATTTATCAGAACTAACAATCAGTTATTCGACTCACTATCCTTTAACTCAATTAGTTATCACCGCCATCCAAATCGGAAATACGCCGGCGCCATGCATAATATCATTCCATCAGGGCGAAACGACCTCTTAGCCATTGACATCTACGGGCCGTTACCGAGGACAACGAACGGGAACAAGTACATTTTAGTGATGATCGATGTGTTTTCCAAGTTCACGAGGGTGTACCCAATAAATAACACCAACGCGTCCAACTGCGTAGGCCAACTTGAGAAACATTTCGAAGTTGCCGGTATGTACTCAAGAGTACTCAGTGATCATGGGACGCAATTCACAAGCACCTAGTACCAGGAAGCATTGCGAGAAAAGGGCATCACTCCTATTTATTCCAGCATTCGTCATCCGCAATCAAATCCATCGGAAACGGTGATGAAGGAGCTGTCCCGTTTGTTTAGAACATATTGCTCGGAAAATCATAGCGAGTGGAATCAGCTAATCCCACACCTCAACATCTGGATGAATCGTGTTCATCATGACAGCATCAATACAACACAGTGGGAGGCGCATTTTGGCAGGAAACCGCCACATACCCTGGAAATGTTGGATAGGGAAGAAGTGACGGGAAATCCGCAAATCGTCTGTGATGAACAGATATTGCGGAAACTTCGACGATCAAGCGAAGAACGAAAGCGAAAGGATAGGAAGAAGTCTTACCAATTTCATATAAACCAGCAAGTGTTGTTGAAAACGCCCCGGGTATCAAATCCTTGATTGAAATTGTTTGCGAAATTTTTCAGATTATACGAAGGCCCGTATGAAATTCAGAGTATAATTGCACCTAATGTTGCCAGACTCATTAGTCAGAGTGGCGAAGTCGTCGGCAATATTAATTTTTATAATCTCAGGCCCACTTAATATTTTATTCGAGGGCGAAGAAAATCTTAAGAAGAGGAGGGGGCAATGTGGTGTTATGGGATTGTGCAACCCCATAACACCACCGTCTCATATGTGTGAACACTACGGAGGCAACGTGGATAGCAGGCGCAGAAAACAGGTTCATAAACACGCGGCCTAGTATCCGTTGTCCGTACTAAACGAAGGCGAACTTGCAAGCAACGTTTTCCTTGTGAAGGGTTGAGAGGGGAAGCAGCCTTACCACTGAGAATTTCCCCAGGCGCCGCGCGATAAATACGCGAACCCGCAAGCCGAAGCTCTCTTTTACCACCGATCGCCGAGCCAGTAGAGTTTTGATCATTGCTCGCCGAGCCAACACTTTCGTTAACATTAGTTTAGATATTGTTTGCCACTGCAACGACTACTAGGTAGGAGTATTCGGCGTCGAACAGACGTTCTAATTAGTCGTCCGCGAAATAGTGTAGATTCAGTAAAGTATTCCTTCAATTAACAACACGGGAAGTAAAAGTTGTGAAAGAAATATTAAAAGTTCTGGCTTAGCAAAGTAAAAGTAGCAACAAGCGAGGAACTTGCTCGAGATTTCGGTTAAGTGCAGGGGACATTTTCGCAACGTGGGCGTAGTCAGAGGCGCCGGTAGCAGACAAGGAAGAAGAAGAGGCGGAGGACCAAGGCGCACGAGGAAGAAGACGGATCGACTACGAAGAAGAACGGAAGAGGACGCGAGAAGACAGCGTAGACGGCAGAGATGAAACCCGTCTCTTTACGACGCAGAAGCTGGGACCGAGCGACGTCGACGCAGAGACCAGCGCACGACCATCAAGGCCAAAGTGGGAAGTCCACGAGGTAACGGTTAGGAATTGCGGAAAATAGGTCAAGTTCACGTCGGCAGGGAAAAACTAGTATAGGAAAGTGTTAAGAAATTGAGGACACGGGTGGCAACAAATTGCAGTATTATAGTAGGAGACATTTTGATGCGCTATTGCCTGCATAAAACATTCTACTTAGGCCATTTATTATTCTGCCATTCTCTGACACAGTTTAATTGTAAATGAAAGTAGTGCACTTGCACACATTCTGTTCTTTACATGTAATATTTTGAAGCAGATTGTAAATTGAATTTTTGGTTTCATGTGCAATGTAATTAGAATAGCACAAATTTAGATATAATTAATTTTCCAAGGGAATTCCCAGTGTAGATAAGGGTAATTATTTCAGAGTATCAATTTTGGAGTAAATTATATGTGTTCATTCATATGAGTGTGTGTTGTAAAGGTTTCTATTTGTGTTTTGATTATTCTTTGTAAAAGTGTGATTCTAGATTCTTGGTTTTTGTCATAAACTTATGCCACTTAAAATTTATGGGTAAATTATACGATCGTTTGTGTGCAATTTTGAGTGATTTTATTGTGTCAAGGGTTCAAACCTTTCTTGAAGTTCCTGCTCCCTAGATTTTTAAGCTCGCTTCACGAGCAAAATCTTGATAACCCGCGTACGGTTCATGCGTGCCTAGTTCCAGCCAATAACATACCTTAGACTCTACTCATTTACTTTGCAGACACCACCCACATAATTTTCAGTTCTGCAGATAACACGCTCTGTTCAGTGTTGCCATATCGGAGGAATTCCCGCCGTTTTCAGCGGATTTTGAACTCGCATGGCGGGGAAAAAAATTAAGTTTCGCGGTCAGCGGAATTTAATAAAGTTGGTGGAAAATAAGAGGAATTTCAAATCTTTACTATTAAGACCTGGACACTAGGGATGGGCGATAATTGAAAAATAATCGATTCCTTGTTAATCGATTAATGATTTCATTCGATTAGTTTGCATGGATTAATCGTTCTAAAATATTCGAATTTTTATAATTATCAGTAAATTCAAAACAAATCTTTAATTAATTATTTTTAATTTATAATTACTATGTTAAAACTATTTGAAATAAACTTGAGCAATACAAACATTAAATAACCGTTAATGGTACAAAAAAATATTTTCTTATTTCTTAAAATATGTTTCTTAATAATAACTTTAATTTTGTATCTTAAGACATTGCAGTATGAGACAAAAATGCACATTGTACGTAGATAAGAAAGATTCATGAATATATACAAACCTTAACTAAAAAACTCACTCCATATAGAATATTTTGTCATATTAAATCGTACGTATTTCATTAGTCTTGATTTTATATATTATATTATGAGCAAAAAAAATTAAAAAAGAAGTATACACACATTAAGTTTACTGTTACATCCATCCATTGCAATGCAGGTTGTGACTGAAAGAGGTATTAAGTTGGGGTCAAATGTAACATAAAAATAAGTTTTAAAATAGAGAAAAGGTGATAAAATATTAAAAATTTATTTATATGAATACAAGGAATATTTTTATTCTACTCGATGGACAAATCTCAAAACTATAAATGATTCCAATCAGTACTTATTACAATATATGAGAACAATTAGAAACAACAATGAGAAAATGAATAAACTATTTCGCGGTTCACAATTTAGAACTTATAGAGGAGAGGAACAGAAGCTGAGGGAAATGCTCAGGCATGAGTCGACTCCTCAAGTCGCTAAGTACAAGTTTTGCTTCTGAAAATAGTTTCTCACTTGTGAGTGAGGTGGCTGTGACGGGCAAATACCTAATGGTTTGTTTGTAAACATTCGGGAATTCTTACTTCATTGATTCCGAAGCCTGGAATGGGTTTATGCCCATAGATAATATGGATCTGTTTAAATATTGGCGCAATTCCGTGTGTACGCCACCATCGTATTCTTCTGACTGATCTTGTTGCTGTGACCTTATGAACTTGCCATGTAGATCCCAAAGACTATTAGCTGAGACTTCATCTGGTTTTGCT